TGGACTATTGCTAAAAGCGGCGTAAAACTAAACTCACTCACTTTGGCGGAGGTTAGGTTTGTCTGGAGCAGTTATTTAAATATGGACAGGATGAGCTTTGTAAATTACTCAGACAAGGCTTTATAACGTAGTTAGGTTGTGATGAGATGTTCTTGAATGATGTGCTTAGATGACGTGCTTGGATGATGTGCTTAGATGACGTGCTTGGACGATGTACTTAGATGACGTGCTTGGATGATGTGCTTAAATGACGTGCTTGGATGATGTGCTTAGATGACGTGCTTGGACGATGGACTTAGATGACGTGCTTGGATGATGTTCTTAGATGACGTGCTTGGATGATGTTCTTAGATGACGTGGTTAGATGACGTACACTTGGATGATGTGCTTAGATGACGTGCTTGGACGATGTACTTAGATGACGTGCTTGGATGATGTTCTTAGATGACGTGCTTGGACGATGTACTTAGATGACGTGCTTGGATGATGTTCTTAGATGACGTGCTTAGATGATGTACTTAGATGACGTGCATGGATGATGTTCTTAGATGACGTGCTTGGATGATGTGGTTAGATGACGTACGCTTGGATGATGTGGTTAGATGACGTGCTTGGATGATATGCTTAGATGACGTGCTTGGGTGATGTTCTTAGATGACGTGCTTGGATGACGTGCTTAGATGACGTGCTTGGATGATGTTCTTAGATGATGTGCTTGGATGATGTGCTTAGATGACGTGCTTGGATGATGTTCTTAGATGACGTGCTTGGATGATGTGCTTAGATGACGTGCTTGGATGATGTTCTTAGATGTCGTGATTATACGTCGTGTGCTCAGATGATGTGCTTAAATGGGTTAGTGAGTTTAGTTTTACGCCACACCCACATGATTTAGCTCAGATGGTGTGTCCAGACAATGTGTGCTCAGATGATGTGCTTAAACGATGATGCTTAGATGGCGTCCTTAAAACGATGTGTGCTTAGATGACGTGTTTAAACAATGTGTGCTTAGATGGCGTGCTTAGACGATGTGTGCTTAGATGCTGTGTGCTTAGTGTATTTGGTATGGGGAGTGACGTGCTGCTGTGACATGCACAGACCTTGTGCTTAGCTGAAGACGTTAGGTGACGTGCTCGGTGTGACATGCTTAGATAGTATGCAGAGGTGACGTGCTTAGACGGTGTGCGTAGGTGACGATCTAAAGCGACGTGCTTCAGGGATGCATTTAGGTGACGATATAGGGCGACGTGCTTAGGGATGCATTTAGGTGACGATATAGGGCGACGTGCTTAGGGATGCATTTAGGTGACGATATAGGGCGACGTGCTTAGGGATGCATTTAGGTGACGATATAGGGCGACGTGCTTAGGTGATAGGGCGACGTGCTTAGGGATGCATTTAGGTGACGATATAGGGCGACGTGCTTAGGGATGCATTTAGTTACATGTTCAGGTGACTTACGCAGGTGACAAGGTGAAGTGAGTATTTATATTTAATTTACGTGGCATACAGAGGTGACGTGCTTCGGCTTGTAGGTACGAGACAATGCAGGAATTAGATTTGCCTGAGTACTCACTATTACCCCAGCAATTAAAGTTAAAGTACCTGTACAGTCGCTTTAGTCAAATTTACCCAAAATCCATCGTGAACTCATAAGAATCAGTCTATATGAACGTTGAAGTCGTGCACAATTTACCTGAGCGTTCTACTTTAGATATGACGTCACTATTGACTACATCGCCGAGGGGTTACAGCACATCCGTCATCCCGTCTAACGAGACGCTTGTACATGTACACAACACGACGGTGAACTTTCCACAGCAGCTAACCTCTTTCCCCATATAGCTCCCTCCCCCGTGTCTTGGGCGAGGAACTGTCTTTCTTTAACACGACTCTTCCTATTTGACGACAGAAAAAGTATTTCGCCATTGACAAACAAGTAAACGATTTCTAAGGAATCTCTTAAATTATTTTTAGTACCTACGCCTACAGTAAATTGTTGACTGTGTTACTGCGTGGGTTGTGCAGTATAATAAACTTGAAATGAAAGATGTAAAGAGGATTGTGAATAATTTATGGGGTGGGGCGTGGGGCGTGGGGGGTCAGTCGTGATGATGATTTTTATGGAGAAGCATGTTCAATGTGAATGACCCCCTCTAAAATTTATGCACAAAGTAAGTGACCCCCCGTGTATATCATGTACGAAATCAATGACCCTCCCCCCAATTTTAAAGCTATTTTATAATATGTATATGTACACAATTGATGACCCTCCTACCTACCCAGAACAAAAAGGGTGGCACTCCATTCCCAAAAATCATCATCCCCAACTCCCTATTTACACACACACACACACACACACACACACACACACACACACACACACACACACACACACACACACACACACACACACACACACACACACACACACACACACACACACACACACACACACACACACACACACACACACACACACACACACACACACACACACAAATAAATAAAAAAAATAAAATAAAAAAAATAATAATAATAATAATAATTATGAACGGTCCCTAACCAGATTCCTGGGAATCTCTCAAATTGCAATCCCCACGTTCGTTATTCAGTTAGGGAAACCGTATTTCTGCTTGAGCTGTGCCGAATAATACAATTAAAATGAAAGGTGTAACCAGTGGAGGGATTATGTCAAGTGAAGAAAGGGTTTCTAGTGATAATTGTTCACTGCCGGATCTGTACATAAACATCTCAGGTAACGTGTGGTAACTTAAGATCCGGGAGTTGAATTGTCATAAATATAAATATGTAAATGATGTGCTGAGCCATCCGGGGCATTGTTTGCGGATACTGTTTACGTCACAACTAGTCATTCCATGACAGTGTATTAAAAACTAACTTCGTGATGCATGCTTAATTAAAGGAAATATGCTGAAAGTATTTTGAAGTTTTTGTTGACTACGTCGTCTACAACATGGTATGATAATAGAAAAAATATAATATTTGTGGCAACTGCAAGTTTCAAGATACACTCATTTTTGTATTATTAGTATTATAAGGAAAACACTCTGCTCCTTCAAACATTGATAAATATAACCCTTTATTATTTACGCAACTGTGCAAACCAATACTAATTAATCTGGGGTAACCACCCTTGAAGACCCAGGTTAGAATTGGTCTTCAGTAACCCATGCTTGTCATAAGAGGTGACTAACGGGATCGGGTGGTCAGGCTCACTGACTTGGTCGATAATGTTATCGTATCCCAATGGCGTATAACGATGCTCATGCTTCAAAACTCCTCAATGTCTTTCAAAACCTTGATGCTCATGCTGTTGATCACTGGCTTGTCTGGTCCAGACTCGATTGTTTACAGACCGCCGCCATCTAGCTGGAATATTTATGAGTGCGGCGTTAAACAACAAACAACCAAACAACAATCTGGGGAAGCCGGTTAAATCGTTTGCTCGTCACACCGTTTGCTCGGGTTCGATTCTAAACATGAATACAATGTATGAAACCCATCGCTATTGTTATATTGGATGATAATTGCGAATAACGGCGTAAAATCTCACTTACTCCTCCTGCAGAACTCGGATATACAGTTCCTTATACCAAGACATCTTATGTTTTAGGGCGGAGGGGTAGCTTCGTGGTTAAAAGCGGCGTAAAACTAAACTCACTCACTCAATGTTTTACATGGATGTGAGCCTCTTTGAGGATGTCGGATTAAAATCGTCATAATTTCCATAAAACTGTTTGCAAAAAAGCATCACTAAGCACATGTCCATCCCTTAAGACGAAAACAGGCTACTTAGCACATGTCATAATTTCCAAGGATCGGTCTGTCGGGGGGCTTATGACGTCTAACAATGTGATGCATGGCTGTATCAGATTACATGGTGTTATTTCTTAAGTTCCCGATCTAAATATTCGCATCTATATACACATCTTTAACACAGGTGATAAACGTGACGATTCTTGTGTTAAGAGGAATTCCACAGTCTTATAATTGCTACTTAACAATAACTGTGTCAATATAGAATTTGCTAAAGCGGCAACAATGACACTGTTTCGTTGATGTTTAACACCTTTGAAAATAGACAGCGAGACGGGCAGCTTTATTTGCGAAGCTTCTTGTTTGACAACTGTATCTTACTGCCCGGCGAGTGCTCTTTTTCATTTCGTTTGGGTAGCCTATACAGCTATTTGGGGAAATATATTTGTATTGAAGACACTAACGCGCACAGGGGACAATCACTACCATATTAGGGGCTCTGGAAAGACAAATTAGTTGGTGTCAGTATCAGAAGTTGATAAGATCCACCTTCATCCTTTTTGCTTCCGTTCGGACATTCCCGCCTGTTTCCGTAAATGCTGAGTTACAAGAGACTGCGTGTATAAGAAATGGGAGAGGCACAAACACTGTCGCTTGTTTGTGGCGCTACTCCGGATTATGCTCGGAATTTGTATATTTTTTGTTTAATTAAGTACAGGAGTGAAGAACATAAAAGGAGCCAAGTTTCTGATAAAGATATGTTTAAATTTGGGATTTCGAAACACCGGTGCATTAAACGCCTTAAATGTCACTTACGTAAACAAATCACGTAATTAATTACGATAATTGATTAATTAAATTTATATTCTGGAAGGTGTAATCTAGACTAAACTCGAAAACTAAACATGTAAAAAACATAACTGGTGTGTATTTTTGTGGAAATTATCTGTTAATAAGCTGATATCACGATATACCCCAACCCTCGTCTTCCTAGCCAATCGCTGACGTGAGGCTCAAGTCGTCAGTCTGTTACTTCGCGGATCTATCACGAGGTGCGCACGTCACATCAAGAAAGGGAACCCATCTCCAATCAACTGTCAGATTTGACAAACAGAATCTTCTACAGCAGTGACGTCACAAAAGACGAGCCAGGAAACTATCTATACACCTAGTGGGCGTTCCTTGTCTGTAATAGGTATAAATAACCCGCTATGCCCCATCCAGATCACAATTCACAGGGATATACGAGAAACTGTATATTGCAGGAGTTTAAATCAACCGAGCTCTCGTATAACTGTTAAAGAACATCAGGTGAATTAGTGTCTCTGAATTTTTATCACATCATGGCATTTCGAATTGTTCTGGCTTGTTTACTCGTAGCCATGGCAACGGCGACAGAATCAGTGGGTAGTTGTGTGGTGAAGGGCAACCCCGATTTCAGACCAGATCCCGATGACTGTTCCGTGTTTTATGTGTGCGCAAATGATATCCTGTACAAGTTCAACTGTTCGAACAGCGTGTTCGATCCCGTGACCAGAACTTGTGTAGGCAGGGGATCTACCTACGACACATGTAAGTACTATTTATCTAATTCTATTTTAAGAGTTTAGTGAGTTTAGTTTTACGCTGCATTCAGCAATATTCCAGCAATATGGCGGCATTTATGTTAAGAACGTGCTTAGGTAGCCTAGTGGTTAAAGTGTTCGATCTATCGGGCTCTATTCCCACATGGTTACAATGTTTGATTCCCGTTTGTGGTGTAACCCGCCGTAATATTGTTGAAATATTACGAAAAACAAAGGAAACTCACTTTATTTACAAATAGTCACTTCGATATCCTTGTACTGAGTGAGTTTAGTTTTAGCAAAATGGAAGCACGGCGGGGGACACCGGACACCGGCTTCACACATTGTATCCACGTGGGGAATCGAACCCGGGGCTTCGGCGTGACGAGCGAACGCTTTAACCACTAGGCTACATGGGTACAATGTGTGAAGCCCATTTCTGGTGTCCTCTGACGTGATATTGCTAAGAGCGGCGTAAAACCATGCTCACTCACTCACTAACACAAACTGTACCTCCCGCGTAAAGTAATGGTTTCTTCAGAAACCTGTCGATAATCGTGTTCACAAGTCAAGCGACCGACGTTTCTTTTCAAAGATACTATTTTCTCTGTGACGTAAAGCACACAATGGTGATAAATAATATCTTTCATCCCTCACCTCTCATCCCTAGAAGAAAATTGCAAAATGTCACAAACTATCATCGCTCAAGCCAGTACTTTTTACGAAATATGACAGTCAGCCAAAACAGGCGTCCTACAAGCAGCTGACGCGATACGGCAATGTTTTATTCCAGTATTCCCGTCAGCAAACCGCGAAATACTTCGCAAGTGCAAGCCTTGTGTTGTGCAGCGCGTCAATCCTCGTCGTCGGCGATGCTGCATGTCGGCTTTATTTCGGCCACGTATTAGCTGAGAAGTTGAGGTGGCGTGGCTGTGTACATTGTCACAGGTCCCTGTTGTCGTGCTGCGAACCCCGATGGTGACGTTGTGCATGACAATGACATCGCACCTCACAGCGGACATGCGGGACCTGCCTCCGGACTAATTAGACATTTTGAAGGATTCTTGTCAACTTAGAAATTCATCATGTCGTTCAGCAAATGGTTACAAATAGACAATTCTTGTGACGTCTCACTTTTGTTTTAATTGTGTTGTATTCCTATAAACTTATGCCTTATATCTAGAACGACTTATCAATATATAATGATCTATTGTGAATAATTAGTACTTTACTTTAAACATATTTTATTCGAAAATGAAATGGATTGGGCACAAGTAGGAACGCCCTTTCCCAGAAGTTACATATGTCATATTTACAATATAAAAACATTGACAACAGGTTTTTGTGGAAGGAATTTACAAGGTATTTAAACAGGATTTGTATAGTATATACAAGAATAAACCAACAAAAATCTTTCAGTGAGCTTAATGTATTCTTGTGACGTCACACTTTTGTTTTAATTGTGTTGTATTCCTATAAACTTATGCCTTATAGCTAGAACGCCTTATCAATATATAATGATCTATTGTGAATAATGAGTATTCAACATCATTCAAGACTTATGCCCAAGTGTGTGGTTGGTTGTGTTTGGTCCCTCGACAGCGTTATATATTAAAGTGAAATAAAGACCTTAAAAGTGTGCATTTGTGTATTTGAATTATTCAGAACATACATATTATTGATTCCACTTTCGTCTCATAGTTTCTGTGAATATGAAGTTATGACTTCTTTGATAATGTTGAGCATTATTGGTTAATCTTTGAGACATGTATTTGATGGTAAAAAAAATCCTAAAAGCGTGTATTTGTGCATTTGAGGTTTTCAGAATCTACATAGCATTAAAACCACCGGTGTCTGAGAAACCTTCTGTGAATGTGAAGAAATTCCTTTTTCAACTATACGACCCTTCAAAAGTTTAGACTCACTCGTGTAAATCTAGCCACTTACTTCAGGCAACTGTTCTAAACTAGATTTTGCAAAATATTCCATACTGTTTAAAGGTACTGTTTACATATGAACTGATGTATTGTAAAACGTTGAAAAGATTGTTGTCATGAGTTCAATAAATGATAAAACTCAGTGAAAATTGGCGAATTCTTAACAAAACTTTACACCAAAACGCAGCTGTTCACATGCACGATATTTGCACATTCTTTTCAGCAATTTGATCCATGATCCTCGTGCAATTCATCTGCATAAGGTTTGCAGTTGGTTCCCCTAAGTTAGTGGAGAATTTCATCTTCGATGTAACCACACACATATATATATACTAGTATATACATGTACATAAGATATAGTGAGTGCTTTAAGTGAGTCTAAACTTTTGATGGGTAGTATATGTTGAGACAATCTTTGAGACAATTTTTGATTGTAAGGAAAGACATCAAAAGGGTGAATGTGTGCATCCTCCATGACAACAACAACACACTGTGTTGTATGACCAACGAAGACTACCTTTAAAATATTTTGTGACAAGGAATTTCATGCGACATTAGTCTAGATTCCATGTCACTCCTGAAACCTCGTTAATCCAGAAACCCGTCGATGCGGATTCTATGTCATGCCTGGAACTTTGAGTCAAGAGTCTCTTTAGTCAGGAAACCAAGTTTGGTCCGGAAACCCCCCAAAATGAAATAAATTATTTAATTAATCTTTCTCAAATATTGTTCTCCAGGTACCAAGAAGGACACCCCAGCACAGACGGTCATCTGTCTCCCCGGGTCTCGTGCCCTGATTCCCCACCCCGAAAACTGTGCCCAGTACTACAACTGCTCCGACCCCAAGCAGAGGTTCAGGTGGCCTGAGCATCTGAGGGAGTGTCCCTACCCCCAACTCTACAACGTCATCACGAAACAGTGCGAACACTATAGTATGGTGAAGTGCGGTGACAGAGAACAGCCAATCAGTCACTGTGAGTATACTAGTCATTTTGACGTCCACCACAGAACCTCTGTAATCTGGACCTTTTTTATAGCCCGAAGATCAATAACCCTTTGTCGGCATTAAATGAACGTGTCACTGCGGTTTTTCCATATAATTACGTTCTGATCAGGAACACTAGTTTTAACCTATCTCCACGTCGCTAACTTTGTCGGGGCGGTGGGGTAGCCCAGTGGTTAAAGCGTTCGCTCGTCACGGGTTCGTTTCCCCACATGGGTACAATGTGTGAAGCCCATTCCTGGTGTCCCCCGCAGTGATATTGCTGGAATTTTGCTAAAAGCGGAGTAAAACCCTACTCACATATTCACTCACACGCTAACTTTGTCAGACCAGGTGCGATGGCACACTTAGCTGAATGTGTGAAGCCGATTTCTGGTGCTCCCGTGCCATGATATGGATTGGTCCCCACAATCTGTGGTGGTCGTACGGAGATCGGTGACCTGGTTGATAGCGTGTCATCGTACACGGTGTTCAAAATGTCAATCACGGGTTTGTCTGGTCCAGACTGAATTGTTTACAGCCAGACGTCATGACGCTGGAACATCATTAAAATACAAACAAACAAACAAACAAGATGCTGTTATTAACAAATGCGTTTATTCCTTCTCCGAACGTGTGGGCGGTGAGGTCACGCAATGGTTAAAGCGTTCGCCCGTCAAGTCTTGGGCCACTTGGGCTATTTACAAGATTGCCTCCCTTAGATGTTGCAGTAATCTATGACGGTGGGTTGGAATCCCGGTTCGTCCTAATTTATTCTAAAGGTGTCCTTATCACAAAAAATATATACATAGGGTAGCTTAATGGTAAAAGCGTTCGCTTGTCACGTCGAAGACCCGGATTTGATTCCCACATGAGTGTCCCTCGCAGTGATATTGCTGATATATTTCTGAAAGCGCCGTAAAATCATACTCACCTGAAACAAATCATTCATTCTCTCTTTCTCTCCCGTACAGGCGACTACCGGGCGAACCAATGCCAGGCTTGCTCACTGTATCCCCTGCATCGTGCGCTACCCAAGTTGCAAGGGTCTTCCCGACGGCTTGAACCAGTGGGTAGGGAGGGAAGACTCCCCATACTATGTCGTGTGTAACGGGGGACGGATGGTATATTCGGGTTTGTGCAACCAGGCGTACGGACCACAGACCTTCGACAAGGTCAGGAAGATGTGCGTTGAAGTCACTCTTTAACGACATGAAGATCAAGAACCTTTTCGATTTCTTGCAGTTGGTATTGTTTCTGAACTTCCTCTTTCATGATTTGTCATTCCTGTTTTGGCAGTGATATTCACTTTTATATTTATTTAATATTTTCCCGGACCTTTTCAGCGTAATCCACCAATCATATAATACATGGTTGGGGCGAAGTAGAAATCCAATTTAGACATCCAGGTTTCTTTCATGTGTTCAAGGAATTAGATGTAACCAATACGCCTCCTTATTAGGATTTCGTTAGTTTTTGTGTTTGCACATGAGTAAATAATGAAGACTGCCATGACCATACCTTCTCTTGCCTAAATTATTTTGCAGTTTGAAAGAACTGTTTTATTTGTTATGATACAAAGCTGGTATTAAAAACTGAAGTATTGACCAGTCAGTTATTGAATGTGTACACAAGTCCCGTTGCTGCTGGTTTCGACTAGCGTTGTATTCATTTTTGAATCTTTAATCCTTGTAATTATTATGAAGAATATGTTGTGATTGTGCGTTGTGTGAGCAGTATTGCATAAACTGGTTGTAAACCTAAACTTGATTCGTCAACCATAACCGGTTGTATTCATGCTGTGTTGAACATATTCGTTAATAAGAGTGTAGTGTTTGTTGAATATGGTATTTTGTAAATATGTTTGATTAAATAAATATTTCTACAAATTATTTCTTTTCTCGATGTCTGTTACTTCGTTACATTCGTCCCTTTTGAGTTTGATGGCGGAGTAATGAAGGAATTTATAGATACAGGAGGCTACATATCCAAGGATGCAGTGCCAACTATTTTCCACTCACTCACTCGGTCTGTGGCTTACATTTGTCCCATTCAGATCCAGCTGGAACACGCGTTCTGGTTGTAGGGTCCCAAACATTAGCTCCACAAGTGAAGTTGAATTTCTGCCCATTAGAACACAGGTAGAGCTTGCAAACTATTTTCACTCACTCACTCACTCACGCACGCACCCACTCACTCCGTCCCTCACTCACTCACTATTGCACTCATTCCGTCACTCACTCACTATATCAGAATGTGCAGTAATGACATCTTATAACCGAACAAGTGCAAACTATCAAATTGTTTTTGTGATAAAAGTACAATGTGATGTCTTTGAATGTCGTTTTATGATGATCTTGACGTATCTGAGTATATTCTTACATCCTTCATCACCGACACTGAGACATCGTGCACATAAAGGGGAAGGTTATGGATGTCGACTACAGCAAGGAGGAAGATGCTCAAACGGCGTGTTCCCATGTCAGAATTTGACACCCATAAAATTTTCCTTTCTTGTATCACCTCTAAGTGCCAATCAAAGAGGTCACAGTAGATGACGGAGCAAGAACTTACACCGTGAGCGTGAACATCTGTACGCATGCATGTACGTGCGTGTCCTTGTATGAGTGTGTGATTGCGTGTGAGTGTGCGTCTGAGTGTGTGGTTGCGTGTGAGTGTGCGTGTGCGTGAGCGTGCGCGTGGCTGTTTGTACTGGTACTGATAATCTTATAATCTGTTACATCACGTAGAGTGTTGATATACTCATGCCAATAATGGTTGTCACCCCTCCCCACCCCGCACACACCTCACCCCCCACTCCCTCTCCAATTAAAAAAATTGAAGCGGGGGACAACCATTATTGGCATGAGTATATATTCCTGCACTCCCCAAAAAATATTTGAAATAAACGATTTGAATTAAGTGCTCCGATCTGACGCTGAACCACGTTCATATTAGATTAAATGATCCTTACATAAAACACATATCCAACCCTTTTGTATCCTTATCATTGACCTTATTAATTTTGATACACATTTAAGTTGCTTATACGATATATTATCCTTCATACCTCGTCATATTTTACAAAATCTTCATAGCTTGTGTGTCAAAGATGCTAGCTACGTGAACGACAAAACTATCTGGCCAGATAAGAGTTAGAATTGGTCTTCAGCAACAGTTACTAATTCTTGTCGTAAGAGGTGACTAACGCGATCGGGTGGCCAGGCTCGCTGACTCGGTTGACACATGTCATCGGTTCCCAATTGCTTAGATCGATGCTCATGCTGTTGAACACTGGATTGTCTGGACCGGACTCGATTATGTACAGATCGCCACCATATGGCTGGAATATTGTTGAGTGCGGCGTAAAACAACTAACAAACAGAACGAACCATCTGACCTGGTGTCGTTTAAAAAATATATATGACATTATTGCATGGTGTGCTCAAGGTGGTGTCTTATGACCCTGTTAGGGAAGACAAAGGCGCCAAAACATGCAACTCACCTTAATCCGGTTCATTTACTCGGATGCACTGTTATTACAGATAACCTGCACTAAATTACAGATAAACACCTGTACAAATCACATATCTAAATATACCTGGCATTCCAATCCTGTATATAAAGAGAGACATATGACATAACTACCACAAGACCCTGCACTATAGCAGTTATTTCCTAGTAAAGGTAAGTTGATTTAATTTACAGTCAAACATGTTCATTTACGGGTCTACTTCGAATTATGCGGTGTTCGACACAACCGAAGCATTTACTTTGAGACAAGTTCGGTACAGCAAGGGCATATTGATGTTTATACTAGGCTGCAGGGAAATAGCAAATGTTTCTCAAGAGAGAGGCGAGAGGATGAATTTTTAACAATTCTTTTGAAAATAAACGTTGGGAGGACACTTTATACTTGTCCTGCCCAAAACACCAGCCAACACACATGTGTACACTCTGAACTCTGGTCTTTTGTACTGTGTCGTTAGTGCTAGGTTATGGATAACAGAACACCTAACGGTAAAACAATATGTGTCGAACACCGCATAATTTAAAGTATTTTCAGGAGACCGGTAAATGAACATGTTGATTTGAAGTTACGCACATGCGTCATTTTAAATGTATATTTTATTGTAATGATTAATTATATAAGGACCCGTGAAGGTCCGGGTTAGAATGAACCTTCAGTAAACCGTGCTTGTCGTAAGAGGCGACTAACGGGATCGGGTGGTCAGGCTTGCTGACTTGGTTGACACATGTCATCCGTTCCCAATTGCGCAGATCGATGCTCTTGCTGCTGATCACTGGATTGTCTGGTCCAGACTCGATTATTAACAGACCGCCGCCATAAGCTGGAATATTGCTGAGTGCAGCGTAAACCTAAACTCACTCACTCACTAATTATATAAGACGTTTCTAATTTCGAAATTGATGAATAAATTACTGGAATATTTGATACATACGAACCAGTCATATCTGACACACACTTTTGTGTTTGTTGCATTAACTCCAGATCTATAAACATTTACCTCTGTCGTTGAGCTATTAGTCTGTAAGGTAATAATAAATAGTTTAAATAATAATTACTATAAAACATAAAAATTCCCCTGACGGACTGGTATCCGCTTATATAGACTTGCCTCGTTAAAGGATAGAATTACTATACACCGATGGGCTTAGCATTCAGTACAGCCTTGGAGCAAAGCTATTGAGCTATATAAACAGGACGATAATTAGTTGTTTGTTTGTTGGCCCAAGTTCATTCTAACCACGATTATATCTATAGTTGTATCGTATGGGAGAATCGTATGCTATTTCTTGGATTCTAAATTAGCCAATATGCTAGGGGCATATTAACTAAAAAATATAATTTGAAAACATACCAGAATAATTATATGTCATGAGTTCGTTAGTATTCGCCATGCCAACTTGAGTTCTAAAAGACATACAGATTGAATATAGCTGATCATTGTTAGATTCAGAGCTACAAGACAGGACTCCAGAGAGCTGTTTCTTTGATGGACAAAGATGATCATTTGTTTCTGACCTATGAGCTGTGACTTTTCTGTGGCTCTTTCAAAATACATCTCCAACTGATTTTTGTAATGTCATTAAAAAACTGACATTTTCATGCCACACAAAATAATGATATCTTAATTTCTTGTAAATATCAAAACAACGGTATCGACCTTTGAGTAACATCAACCTGTTTAAGATATAAGTAAAATTTCGTTTCATCCTGAAAGCTCCAACAAAAGTTTTCTTGTAGACGTTTTGATCTCATCCTCAGCCCAATGATGTGTGAGTGTCGAGTGTTGTGCTTGCTGATGGCGCTGATGGTCGCCCTGGACTCATGTGAGTAGGCGCTTCTTTCTTAATAAATGTTGTGTTGTGTGAGTTGTGTTGTATGTGTGTTGAATTTGTATGTCGTGTTGAGTGCGGATGTTGTGTTGTGCTGTTTTGTGTTGTGTTTGTGTTGTGAGGTGAATAAGGTTTTAACGCGGGGTTCATAATTATAGCATTTATTTGGCGACGGGTGTCTGTGATGGTTGACGTCAGTGGTGGAGTGGACCTGGACCTCTCTCTTTATTCATGGGGCGGTGGGGTAGCCTAGTAGTTAAGAGTTTACTCGTCTCGCCGAAGATCCGGGTTCGATTCCTTACATCGGTGCAAGCACATTCGGGTGTCCCCGCCGTGATATTGCTGGAATATTGCTAAAGGCGGCGTAAAACTATACTCACTCACTTTAACCTGTCCCTTTTCATTGATTCCAGCATCAGCCTTCATTCTAGACGGAGATGATGTGAACCCCATTTGTAAGACGACGACGGAGACGCTGATCGCCCACCCTACTCAATGTGCCCAGTACTACAACTGCAGCGCGCCCGCCATGAGGGTCCACCGTACCACCTTGGAGAAGAACCTACAGGAATGTGACTACCCACAACTGTACAACCCCGCGACCCAGAGATGTGAGCACTACAGCACGGTCTCGTGTGGCAACAGAACAGAGCCCCTCGGGAAATGTAAGTATCCAAGAGCACGGATACATGAGGTGAGGTGAAGTGAAATTGGGTTTTACGCCGTGCTTGAGAATGTTTCGCTCATATGACGACGTGCATGCATGCGTGTGTATGTGTATGTGCGGCTGCTTGTACTAGCCCAGACTTAAGCTGGTTTTATAGTGCTAGCCCACTGAGATACCATGCCGCACTGAAGCATGTACCCCACTCAGACACATTATACTGACTCCGAGCCGACCAGTCCTTGTTGTACCCATTAATGCCGAGCGCCAGGCATGGACCAACAAGTACCATATTTTAACGTCTTTTAGTATGACCCGATCGGGGATCGAACCCGCGACCTTCCGCTCTCTGGGCGGAAGCTCTAACCACTACACCACGGAGGCGGTCGGATACATGAATGGCGACTGGGGGAGTAATGTACGTCGCTTCCAGGATAGTCCAACAATATCACGGTGGGTCACCAAAAATAGGCTTCACACGCTTTAACCACGCTGGAAATCGAACTCGTTTTTTGGCTTGACGATTGAACGCTCTGACTACTAGGTTACCCTGCCTCCCAGAGGTGGCTGAAGAGTCCTGACTTTATCATTATGGAATACAGTGATGGGGTTGGCTGCCAGTTACGTTTCATTATAGCTAAAATACATGGAATTATCATGAAACGGCCCTCCCATTATCAGAAATTTGCGGTCCGCTGCAAATGATATTGGACCGCTCAACCTTAACGACGGGCCACTATCAGTTCTGTTGTCAAGTGACGTCATAGTTCGACATTAATTTGCTTTCGACTGGCAGATATTCTGGGTCAAACAAGTCAAAGCAACCCAAATTCCCGCTTCAAATAGCGGTAATATTGGCTTTCTTGTTGGTGCTAACCTTAACAATATTGCACTATTGAGACTGTTGATGGACCAAAACCGAACACTGTCATAGTTTGACATGTTGCAGGCTATGGCTTGTCAAAGGCCAAGGTCGAATATCGTCACTTTCTTTTGTGACGTCACTTGAATTGTTCGATGACGTAATTGCATTCGGGCAGTCAAGCCCGTCAGAAGTTGATTTTGGTAAACTTACAGTCAAATTCCTTCATTGTTTCCTTTTTCTTTTCAACACAAATTCCATGTATTTTAGCAATAATAACGGTAATGCTATTTTTGAGGGCATTATCATTTGCAGAAGCCCTCGGTCTTTTTCAACTGCCCTCCTTCGTCGGGCAGTTAATGGAAGACCTCGGGCTTCTGCAAATGATAATGCCCTCAAAAATAGCATTACCCTTATACTATAATCCCTTCTGAGGTCCGCACTCAATGATGCTGGACTCCCCGGATCCCACTTGCATAGCGTACTTTCTCTTGGTTGAAAACAGATACAAAAGGCATGGAGTGGTGCTTGCTGTGTCTCCCAATCAAGATTGCAGTCATTTTGTTGTCTGAGTGAACTGGGAGATTTTATGAGCGATTCCAATGTCTGTCTGTCTGATTTTGTATCAATGAGTGTTGATTTATTGATTGTTGTTTTACGCCGCACTCAGCGATTCCAGCTATATGGCGGCGGTCTGTAAATAATCCAATCTGGACCAGACAATCCAGTGATCAACAGCATGAGCATCGTTCTACGCAACTGGGATACGATGACATGTGTCAACCAAGTCAGAGTGGATGACCACCTGATCCCGTTAGTCGCATGGATTACTGAAGATCAATTCTACCCCGGATGTCCACGGTTCTATTAATAAGTGAGCAAGTTTGGGTTAATGCAGCTTGCAGCAACATGGACATATTTTACCAACCCCGATGTTCGGTATAAAAAGGGTTGATGGTGAGACCTGTTGGTTTCTCCGCTGATAATCGAATGACCCTCTGTCATTTTCTTAAAACGTCGCTCATATTATGCGTGTATGTGTGTGTGGCTGCTTAGACCAGACTGAAGCTGGTTTTATAGTGCCAGCCCACTGAGATACCATGCTGCAGTTAAGCATGAATACCCCACCCAGACACATTATACTGACTCCGAGTCAACCAGTCCTTGTTGTACCCATTAATGTCGAGCGTCAGGCAGGGATCAACAAATACCATATATGACGCGGCCAGGGATCGAACCCGCGACCTTACGCTCTCCGGGCGGACGCACTAACCTCTACACCAAGGAGGCGGTATTTCTTAAACTGTACAATATGTGTATGTGTCTGTGTGTGTCCGTGCGTGCGTGTGTGTCTGTGTGTGTCCGTGTGCGTGTGTGTGTGCGTGCGTGGGTGCGTGCGTGGGTGTATATACATACAATCATACATTTATCGTCTGTTTCCAGGTGAGTATGCCAGGTACACATGTCTTGGGGGTAGGGACTGTGGGGCACCGTGCCACATCAACAACCCCACCTGCAGGAACTTCGCCGACGGCCTTAACGTCTACGAGCATCGCCCCAACTCACCTTACTACGTTGAGTGCCTTAATCAGCGTCTAGTGAAGACTGGCGTATGTCCCGCTTGTGCTGGTACAGGGGCACCAATCTTTGACGCACAATTACGCCAATGCGTGTGCAAATAAAACATCCGGTTGTTTTAAAATAGTTGTGTGTTTAGAAAATTAACGAGTGTGTTAAAAAAGATTGTTTTTGTCTGCTTTTGTGGATGTACAACAAGAGAAATATAGTGTAACCTTTTAAGGGTTGTTAAGGATGAACATGATTTTGGTTGGTTGTTGTTTAACGCCGCACTCAGCAATATTCCAACTGTGGTTGGGTTGGGTGGTTGAGTGAGTAGCCGACTGCGTGGGGGAGTGATAAGTGGGCGATGGCGAGTGAGTGAGTTCTCGCAGTGTAGGGAAATATTCCATTCACAGCAAAAATAACTTGGTTTCCGCAATGCGGAAACCTGGTGGAAAGTGGACTGAAACTTAAGTTTCCACCTAGAATCCAGTGAGTTTCCGTTCTTTTACATTGAGTTTCCGCAATAACGGAAAATTACAATTACCCACTTTCTAAGGGTTTCCGCAAGGTTTCCGTTACCCACACTCCAACAGGTTTCCGCAAGGTATCCGTTACCCACACTCCGACAAGTTTCCGTTGAGTTTCAGTTAACTTTGAATCCATCAGGTTTCCGCAAGGTTTCAGTTATTAATAAGACTCCAACAGGTTTCCGCAGAGTTTCAGTTACCAACTATTCGACATAGTTTCCGCATAGTTTCAGTTACCGGTTTCAATTTCAGGTTCACAGGTTTTCATATGCATTTCAAAGAGCCAAATTTAAACATTGTTCTTTACTCATATCATAAACTCTTGTTAAAAACAATATAAGCAATTTGTTATCATGACATTTACTTAAAGAAAAACAGAATATATAATAAGATTCATTGTTTTATTTTCTCAACATGAATATGAATTAGCATTTAAGGCAAATAAAGATCATACATATAACTAGTAATATAGCACTAAAAAACAGGGCAAAACATTTTGGCATAACTCAATCCGGTTTAAGAAATCATATATCATTTATAACAAAGTAGTAATTTTTCATCAGTTAAACTTTCATTCACTTATTATCTTGAAATAGCATGTTAGATATGAAATTTATTTCTAAAATCATGCTAATGGTGAAAAATAACATTAACATACAACTTAACACAGTAATAAAACATAGCTGCATCGGACATTTATTTTCACGCCTTGGCATTCAGCCACACACACTCTATGTCACAACTATCGCCAAACATCCACTATGATATACATCATACAATAATACAACATACAGCTTACAATACAAAAATAAAATAAAAATTACATTATGAAATTGAAAATAAATTCAATTATATTGCAAGAGTTGGTCAGTTAGCCAAATAAGGGGCATCCCTGGGTGGAGATTCCTCCGGTTGATTGGATGCCTTATCCTCGTCCTCACGTTGGCCATGACGAGAGCAGTTGAGGTGTAGATTCTTTCCAAGTCCAGTGTCGTCGTATATGCCCTAAGCTTGCTGGACTCCCAGACAAAGAGGACGGAATGCAACTAATTGACGTCATCTTCGTCACTCACGACTGGTGATGTCATGTCTATGGTGAGTGTTGTCGCTACCTTTTTCTTTCGTCTATCTGGCCAATCGATAGATGCAAGTCTGTTTAGGCGTTGTGCAAGTTTCTGAAAATGGCAGGTAATAACGAATTACTAGGTTATTTTGATAAATTACACAAACATCAATCAACAAGAAACTGACAATGCCAAGGATGATTTAAAATGAGTAATCCAAAAGGAAGTTTGAATAAAAGAGAACTAAATTGAACAATCACACTTTGCACTAGTTTTCTCAAAACTCAAATTATGCAATTCATCACACTTCATTGACCGAATGAAATATCTTATTTTCTAAAGAGGACACACAATCTATACAAAATTTGCTCTGAAGTTACATGCTTCCCAGTCCAAAGGTAGTAATACGTTATATATATATATACATCTATATGAAGATTTATTGCATTTTCTTTATAGTAATAATGATACTAGTAATAGATTTTCATCAAATTGCTATATTCAATCTCTTACAGTTCGTATTGAGCCCATTTCTGGTGTCCCCCGCCGTGATGTTGCTGGAATATTGCTAAAAGCGGCGTAAAACCAAACTCAGTCAGTCAGTCGTATTGTTGAAGGCACAAGTATATTCACCCAGTAGTGACTGTATGTTTACACCATTAAGTCTTTGAGGTGTATTTAGAAGTGAATAATGCAAGACATGAATGTTTACGGATGTCAACGTCTTTATTATGTAAAAGCATAATAAAGGAGTTGACATCCATAAACCTTGTCTCTACACTATTAATTGGAAATTATGTACTATTTATAATGAAAGTCACTACATATAGGTCAAAATTATTTTCACATGTTACTGCTGACCATCCTTGATCATTTGTTATACAGTCTCCAGACTCATCATCAGCTTTGCTGAAAAAAATAAACAATAACACGTTACTTTTCTTTGCATTTCCCCATTCATTCATTCGAGTTTCCCTTAAACCTGCAGCGACATTTATACCAACAAGCAAACTACAGATTTATCACTTTAGGTTATGCAATCAGTAAGTGAACGGCCTGACATAAACATCCTGATGAATTAAGTTTAGTTATCTCATGTGACATAACCTTGGAGTAATTACGGTATTGTAAAATCAAGGGGTCAGTTTGACTGCAATTTCACACAGGTGTGCAGTTAAGATTTATTTGGTCCAATTTGAAATCATGATTAAGTTACCGGTTATTCAAATCCATTTGCAAATGTAACTTTAGTATGGTTCATTTTGTGAAAATGTATCTAGGGAAGCATAATAATAAAATATTCAAAGTGAAATTATGTCTATGTTTCGTAGTACCATAAACACATACCTTCAGTAAGAGAGGGTGATCTTTTCCTCCAGGAGTAGTCGTGACACATGTTTCCTCACAACAGCCTAAATGAATAAAACAAATCCATTAATATATAATCTATTTGCTATATTTTTCAAAATTGTAGTATATTTTTAGATAGACTTATTTTACTTCACCAACCTTAGTTCGAGCAAAACAGTTTATACAGTCATGGGACTTAAATATACGTCCGTCGGCAAAATTCTCATAGACTTGCATGCTATTTTAGTGTAGCTGTGTAATTTTCATTAATTCAGTTTTCCATATTTGGTTGTCAAATTTTGCAGGTTGTTAGGAAATCATCTTGGTCACAGATACATACTTTTCCACATTGTAGTTACATGAGCAACATATATATACAATATTGCGTATTCTTTCCCCATAGACCGCCATGTTAAAAATTGCCATAACCATGACACGCACTGAAGTGAAAATAAAACGGAAATTATGTCTTTGTAGCTGAGATGATTCATGACCCATGTGCAAAATATGAACAATATCAAACGGATATTAAATAAATTCAAGACATATTTCTAGCTGCACCAAATTAACATGTAAGTCGAATAATGCATAGTGACGAATACCTATGGCCAGTGGCTGTAATTCGATAGATTAGCTTGTTTACCAATCCAGATTTCTGTACGTAAAGTAAATAATTCATTAAACGTTATTTGACAACAAAATCAATTGGTCTAACCTGACAGGGTCGTGGTACTGCGAGTTTTTCGCAGCCATTTCCATCTTTCTTTTCCAGGTAGCGAATTCTCTCTTCCAGTGCTTTGAGGGAAACTGAGGCGGCTGTGAAAATGGCGTCTCGCAAAGACTCACGGGAAAAACACTTTGTTGTTGTTTTTTAAAGAACCACTAAACTGTGTTTTTTGTTACTCTTTTAACCATAACATATCAAAGATTTGTGGTTAGTCTTATGCGGAACACCAAATTTATTCTTTAAAAACTTGTGGTTAATTAATACCGAGCGATTAAAAGTGGCCAAAAAGTCGCCTGCTTCCCTCTCGCCCGCCAACGAAACCACAGACAGGTTACGTAACTCTGTCGCCAGAGCACTGCAGTGACGTCATATGAGGAACGATTTTCAGTTAGTTGTATAGAAAATGTGTAGCACGCTCATCATTTTGATGATTTCTCGACATCAACGACGACATGCCGAATCGTTGCTTTGTCGTCAATTGCTCCTAGGGTCGGGCGATGGTGTCCCCATGCACAGATTTCCACAGGACCCGCAGTTCGTGCTAAATGGGTTATGTTTGTGAGTGCGAAGCGAGCGTTGTGGAAGCCTGAAACGATATCTTACTTGTGTTCAGATCGCTTCACGGAAGTTAAAGAATCAAAACTACTTACTAGTTGTAGTAAAATATGCATATGATTGATGACCATAAAGATTTTCTATGACACAACTTGTAACATAACGATTTCTTCCTCGGAAGTGAGGTTGTGGTCGAAGTAACAATAATATTGTAAGTAGTATTATATTGACACCCACCTCGCTGCCACGAGAGAAATTGTTATGATATACGCTATGTCATGCAAAATCCTATTGGCCATCAATAAAATACATATTTTACTACCAGTAGAAAGTAGTTTTGATTTTGTAACTCGGTGAAAACAAACCTAAATACCATTTATCCTCAGACTGGCGGATGTTCCCGACAGGGCGCCGCCATTTTAAAAATAAAAAATCTGTTAGAATTAATGAGATTATAGTTTGTTTTCATCAAGTTAGAAAATCAAGACTACTTTCTACTCGTTGTTAAATATGTATTGGAATCATAACCAAACGGATTTTGCATGACACAACTTATAACATAACGATTTCTTCCACGGAAGCGAGGTGGGGGTCGAAGTCACAATACTGCGCGATAAATTTCTTGCTACAAACCCATAGTTAATGTCCACTCACCAGTATGTAGATACTAGTCAATGTGCGTCTTTATATTTGGTCTTATAATCCTAATTAGTTTATTACCACACTTGTATGCATTTTGAAACTAAATAAAAAGCAGACGATCTGCTGATACTTATAGTGAATTTATAACAGAACTGTAATATCTAGACATTGTATAGTTTGCCAATGTGAATCATAATTCGCACACACACCCTAGTGCATGTTGTCTGTCTCATTACACTTCACGGCGAAAACAATGATTCTGTTGAATGCTACG